CAAGAACGAAAAGGGGAGAAACTTTTTACAATGTACTTTCCAACTTTGCTACCATGCATAGCTGCACTCCCAGTCAAAAATTATGCAACAGAAGCTGATTCACAGTCTCTGCTCCTGCCTTCTCTACACTTTGCTCCAATGGTTATCCTGCTTCATTGTCTTCTTGGCTTACTAAAGTGCTCAAAGTCTCCCGTCTTATTAAAAACATATTAAATTATAAAAACTTCCCTTCCCCAAGGATTTTTAGACGAGATCAGGCACATTCAGGGTGGTGTGGTGTAAACACCCAAGGATTTTTAGCTACTGTCCTTACAGGAGAAGCTTACTTAAGATTCTCAGAGTGTTTATTCTCATTTTTTCTTTCTCATTTCTCATTCACACTCAATCCCACTATAACCCAATTTCTCCTGAAATCACCCTCCCTCTTTCCCCAGCAATCTCTTTCAGCAATACAATCAGACCTTCTTAGCTGTTAATGTCATTTCTTTTTCAAATCTACTTCAAATTTCCTGCCTTGGGTCTCCTGAAGCCTGCCTCTTCTGATGCTCCATGTTCATTGCATCACCCACCTCCTTCCTCTGGCTCCTTGAAGGTTAGTACTTTCCAGAGTTCTGATTGTAGCCATACTTTTTGTTCTTGTTCCTGGTGTGTTCATTTTCATTAACCTTTATGTCAAGCAATCACTACATATATTAAAACTACCTCTGTAAGGTTAATAATGCCCAATTTGGCTCTTTGGACTTCTTCCTGAGTGCCATTCAAATTTCTCACAGGCTGTTTATAATCCACCAAACACAGAATCCACTTCCATATCTTGCCACATCCAATCCATTAACAAACCCTGTATATTCTACCATCAACATACATCTGAAATTTACTCACTTTTCTATCCCCTTTTCCACCATCCTACTTCAAGCTGCCATCATCTTTAGACTATGAACAACCTCTAGGAAGACGCCATGCTTAATCTCTTGTTCCTCTTCCTCCTCTAAAGGCAGCAAGAATCATGCTTTTAAAGCCAAACTCCTCTTAAAAAAAAAAATCAAAGGGCCACGTAATACTTGGAATAAAACCACACCTCTAATCCAGGTCTACAAGGCCTGGCTTAGCCTGGTCCTGCCTTCTCCTCTCCTTCACCATGTACTCCTTGTTCATACTCAGCCAGAGATCCCTGCCTTTGTCATTTATTTCACTTCCTCAATACAGCCTCTCCTGTCTCTGGACTTCTGCAACTGGGTTCACCGTAAAGAATATTCTTTCCTGGGCCAGGGATTCAGTGGTTCCACCACCTGCCTTGCAAGCACAAGGTCCAGAGTTCAATCCCTGGTACTAAGAAAAAAAAAAGAATACTCTTCCCTCTTGTTCTTTATAAGGTAGTTACTGTTCATCTTCAGAGGAGTTACCATGCACTTGACCTAAATACCCCCTGCCACCCCTGTTCTTTAACTCAGCATCTGATCTGTCTCTTTCACACACACTGTAATTTACTTCCTGGAAGTCCTCTTGAAAGTAAGGGAAGGTGCCATCCCTCTTTCCTCCTCCTTGCTGATCAGAATGCTAATACAGTGGCCAGAGCTCAAGCAACTCAATGAGTAATTGTTGAATGAACTACAGTACTGGGTACATGTACTTTAGAGCAGAGTTTATTGTATTTGTGGTTCTAGAAAGGGAACTCAGGGCATTGTGCACACTAGGCAAGCACTCTACCACTGAGCTACACCTTCAGCCCTGAAATGAACTACTAACTAAACTAGTGAGTGAATTCTTTCACCATTAACTTGCATAATTCACCAACATCACTGTTATACAATACAGTATAACACTCTTAAATTAGGCCCCTGTTTTAACTACTCCTTTCTTTTTGTGACTTTTCAAAAAACTTTCTAAAGAGAAAGAACTCAGTTTGGCCAACATTGGCAGATAAGATAGACAAGTTTCAAAGACCTCAATGATGTTTACAAAATAAATTAGTTCCACCTCTGTTCCACTGGCAGACTTTGTATGCTCATTTTATATCTTGAATAAATCACAATACAGGGTGGTTAAACTGGATATCCTCAAGGTTGTATGAGTCAGTAGTAAAGCTAGAGTGCTCACTTCAGCAGCATGTATACTAAAATTGTGAACAATACAGTAGTAAAGTTAGAAATAAAGTCAGAACATATCAAGCAGTTAGTTATAAAATAAATTTCAACAAAATGACAACTAGCAGCTTTCAAAAAATGCCACTTAAATTAAACTAAAGGTACTAAAAAAGATAAAGAGGAGTATATAACAACCTCTATCCAAAAGGAGGTTAAAGATTTAAGAAACCTAAAATCTACTGGGGAGAGCTCTAATAAGCTCCAAGATGTAGATTTGATCTAACACCTAAATAAGGTAAGAAATCTAAGACAGTAAGATAACATCACTGGATAGTAAATAGTTGATAGGTTATTACAACATAACTACTACAGTTTCTAGCTGAAATGGTCTGGCTTCACATAAGATGTAAGATTTTAATGGGTTCCTTAGGGATGGAAAGGTTTGCATGTGAACAGAGGTGTCGGACAGAAAACCTTTTAAAAACAGACAGAACATGGGGCTGGGGATTTAGCTCAGTGGTTTCACCACCTGCTGCGCAAGTGCAAGGACCTGAGTTCGATCCCCAGCACCAAAAAAAAAAAAAAAAAAATTCACCACCTGCTGCGCAAGTGCAAGGACCTGAGTTCGATCCCCAGCACCAAAAAAAAAAAAAAAAACAGATAGAACTTTGAAAAAGTTTAAAAAAAAAAAAGACCCCAAAGCAAGCAGCAGACAGAGCCAGTTTGTTAGCAGTACAGAGACCCACCTAAGGAAAGGATTATGGGGGAGGTATTTGTAAATTTAAATGTAACTAGTCCAATTAAAAAGTCTGAACTTAGGGCCCGGGATTCAGCTCAGTGGTTCTGCCGCCTGCCTCACAAGTGCAAGGTCCTGAGTTCAATCCCTGGTACCAGAAAAAAAAAATGGAAATAGAGAAATCTGTCAGGGAACATAGGACTTGTTTGCTGGTGGGTTGGAATAGGCAAATATTTTCCTCTCCTAAAGGATAAAGACATCTGGCCTATTCCTAAGTCATTCATGCCTGAAACTGCTTCATTCCCTTGCCCCACTGAGCTTTCCACCCCAGACATTTGTGCCCTCCTAGCAAACTGGCTTCTCCACCTTCCTCCCCCAGCCACACAATACACTGCAGCCCAACAGGACTGCACATCCTAGCTCCCCAGACATACTAGGAAGCCCCAACCCACTCACTCTGTTCAGCAACTTCTTCTACCTCTGCTGTGCTCTCCTCACTCCGTGTCCAAGGCCTAGCGCTTCACACACCCGCTGAGTGCTTTCTCTCCACCGAGCTTCCCAGAAGCCCAAGCCCCAGTCACTGTTGCCTCTCACCAAGGTACTTTTGTCCAGAAGACTTTTTCTGGTACGGGGGATCGAACTCGGGTCCTTGCGCTTGCGAGGCAGGCGGCGGAACCACTGAGCCAAATCCCCGGCCCTCTCCAGAAGACTTTTTCAAGAATCTTTCATTGTAGTTGTTGCTCGTCTTCTCTTGTAAACTGTCTAACTTACAGCAAACACACTCTATTTTTTATTCCTTCCCTCTTTCTCCACAAGTAATTGAAGATCTTGACAAACATTACAGGGCAACAGCATAATGTAAGCCCAGGGACACAGACTGAAGACTGAATGCTTGGGTTTGAATCCCAACTCAGCTATTTATTAGCTATGTGTCCTTGGGCAAGTTGCTTAACCTGTCTGTGCTTCAGTTACCTTGGCGTAGCCAATGGAGATAATAGCAGGTATTTCATAAGGCTTCAGAGAACTGGGTTTATAACAGTGTGAACACCATAAAAGGATCTATTAGATACATAAAATTGTGTTTCAGAATGGAAAAAGACTGACTATGCTGTGCTGACTGGTGAAAGCTTTATGACATACACCGGGAAAGCGAAATGGCAAGAGCACAGCCAGGGTCCCCACACACTGCTATATACAAGTTCTTTCTAAATTTTCTTATGCATGCCTTACGAGTTAGCTTTTCCTTTTACAGTCTTCCTTATATTAAAAAAGCTTCTGCTTTAGTTTGGTATTTCAATATCCAGACAACCTCCTTGGTTCAGTCTCTTATGGTTATTGGTAAATTAGTCTCCCTGTGACCAGTCATAACCCTATAATCTGCTCAGAACAGTCTTACCAACATGCAAATCTGCTACACACCCATTCCACCCCCCTCAGGAGTTTAAAGCCCCTTCAGATCTCATACAAAATCTTGCTAATCAGGCCCAGCCTACTCTCCAGGGTCATATCTCAAATGTCTCTCCTGTCTACAGCCATACCACCCTGAAGACCCTGATCTCATCATCAAATGTCTCTCCTCACAATGAAACCTCAATCACGTGGCCACCCCTACAAGGCCTTCTGTATGTCATTTCTTTTGCTTGGAACCCCGTGTTTATTAGTTTCCTGGGGCTGCCATAACAAAATATCACAGCCTATGTGGTTTAAACAATCAAAATGTATCTTCTCACAACTCCCGAGGCTTGAGGGCCAGGTACCAAGAACGAACTCAGGACCCTCCTTGAGAGGCAGGCTGCGGCACCACTGAGCTAAGTCCCTGGCCCATTTCCTCAGCTTTCTTGACACATCCTCCCTTGGACTTTCCTTGTACGGATGCATCTCTGGTATTTCTTCTTACATCCAAAATTTCTGTGCTTATAAAGTCAGCTGTCAGATTAGATTAGGGCTCACCCAAAGGATGTTTTTAACTTAATCATCCTCAAACCCTTGTCCAAACATAAGACACAGGCTTCAGTTATAGGGGTTAGGGCTTCAACATGAGGATTTGGACACAACTGAGCCCCTAACCACCCTTTCCCTTTTTCTTGCCCAAGCTAATCCCACTTGTTTTCCCTGAGAGTGGCCCAGGCCTTCCCAATGCACACCGACTGCAGTGCCTTTCCTCTGTGCTCCCATTGTACCTCTGTACACTGCTCGCATAAGTGTTCCCTTCCCTCTTCAGACTGTACACCTTCACAGTGAAGACTGCACTGCCAGCACCCAGCACAGAGTCCAGTCCACTGAAAGCATTTAATAAAGACTTGATCAATGAGGAGTAAAGCAAAGAGCATACAACTTGAAGTAAGGTAAGCTTCCATTCCAGTCCTCGCTCCAGTTGTATACTTACTTTGCAACTTACTCTGTGACTTAGGGCAAGTTATTTAATGTTAAACTTCTATTCAGCATTATTCTGAATAGGGTAGTTGTAAAGACAAACACTTTATCATAATTAAAGCACCTATCTGAGGGGTTGGTACACAAGAGGTAATCAGTAAATGTTGGAATAAAGTTTCTGATCTTGCCTGGTTTGACACTTAGTCAAACCTACTGTTCTGCAGTACATGACGTGGATATACTATCCTTTTTGCTTTAGTTGCTTATCTAAAAACTATCTCATGGTGCTACTGGGGGCATAATTTAAACATTTAGATAGGTATGTGGTACATAGTATTACATAAATGTTTCCTATTATTATAAGAACACTGCAGGTCTAGATAGATATGACTGGAAACCATGAATAATTTAGCTCCTTCCATTAGTAAGTATTTAAATGTGACCACTACCTTAATGCTTCAGGTTTCTTTCCAACTAAATAGGATAAATTAAAGAGGTTCAAAAACTAGTACAGGAGATACTAGTTCAAAATGAAAAACTCAAAATGAACATGAAATAATATATTATCATGCCACATTCCTTAATTTGATGTTTAACATATTTTGGGTATTGAAATAAAATTTGTAAGAAACAAGTTTTTCTACTGTTTGTGACTACAGACACTGACCATTCACACTGGAGAACAACACCCCTTGACTCATACTTTCAACTGCAGAACCATAAACCTACAACCTGGGAAGGACCTTTGTGAGGAAAGTCCAGTCCCACCTTTTCTGACCCAAACACAATGAAGTGGATCTGGAACAGCCTTTTAGGGTCTTAATGAACAGCTCTGTGAAGGATGGGAATTGCAGGCTGAGAGAACAATTTGTTTAAAAGTACTAAATGAGGGGTTCTGGATTTATTTTAGATGTTCAAGGAGTGTTGAGACCAGTATTAGGAAAAAATGCTGAAAAATCCTTTTTAACCTCAAACTTTAGGGTGTGTAACATTTGAAGGAGGCAGAAGTCATCTGATCTGTAACTCTGGAGCAAGGTAGCTCTGGGTTTGAACTCCCCCGTGTCCCATAAGCACTAAATCTCTGAGCCTCAGACGAGTACAACAGCTTTGTTAAAGTAACTGAGCTGTGTATGCAGAAAAGCCCACAACTGGTGTACCTGGCAAGCTCCAAGTACTCAAATGTCAGTTCTTCCGGATCTCATTCTTCCCTCATGTGAATGAAAATGTGTGCACAGTACATCGTCTTCACATAGTACGTGCTTTCTAAATGTGTGAGACTTACTGGACATCATTCCATTCTAGAAAGCTGCAATAACTGCTGCAAGGATAGTGTCGTATCTCTGCCCTTCCTCGCCTACCTCCGCAGCTAAGTGTCTCCTCGCCACCATTAACGTGCTATTTGAGACTTCGGCAGCTCAGACTTAAAGAGCAGCAAAGACTTGAAGGTCAAAACCTTTATCGTGACAGACCAAACACTGAAACAGCCTGCTTCATTTTGTTCCTAGGGTCCATTCCAGCCTGAATTTCCAACGAAAAGTAACTATTCTTGTTGTGCAGACATAGCAGGTCTGAGTAAAGGGGGCATGGTCAGGTGACCGAGGTCATCGCTATGAGGACGATCCTTGACTTTTTGTGTTTGGGAGACTTATTTTTACGTGGCATTAAAAAGGACACCGGTCAATCCCGCTACTTAAGCTTCATTCTAAAGTGCGGTGTCTTTCTTCTAAAGACACTATGCGCCTGGCTGGAAATCAACCGCAAGAACAACCAGGATGGACAGACCCCGTCCAGACGGCGACCGCAGCTTAGGGCTTAGCGTACGGACGCCGAAGCCCAGGTCCTGACCGGGCTCCAGCGGGCGCCGTCCAGGGCGAATCTGGACTCCCGGGAGGACCCGGCTCCGCCCAGGTTCTGGGTCCGCGGCGACCTCCGGGGGCTGCGAGGTCGTCGCGCGGCTTACTCACCGGACAGCCCGGCGTCCTCAGGCTGGCGCGCTGAGGGGCGCAACCGGAGACCTGCGGCCCCAAGACGCCCCGGCCAGGAGGCCCCCGGGCGCGGAAGGGCGGGCGGGCGCTTCACCACCTCCTCACGCCGGGACCGCGGCCTGGCGCGGAGCGGGACGAGGCAGCGCCCACCGCGTCGGAAAAGCCGGCAGGCGCCCCGCTCTCCCAGCAGCCCCACGGCCCGCGTACGGCCTGCTGGGAGCTGTAGTTCCCCGCCCGCCGCCCCGGAGGTCCCGCCCCGCGCCGCCCCCCGCCCCGCGCCGCCGCCCGGACCGAGACCGCGGGGCTGGGTAGAGTTCGCGGTCGGCGCCCTCCAGCGCCCCTCCGCGACCCTACTGGGGGTCCCCGGCCCTGCAGGCCGCCCGGAGAGTCGTTGGCAGCGGGCGCCGCTCGGGTAAGGATGGAGGCCGGCAGGAGACGGGCGGGCGCGCGAGAGCAGTCCTCGGCCGGGGCCCGGGGCCCCTGGCCCCTCCCACCCCAGCCTGCATCTCCCCTCCTCAGAGCCTCCCCCGGGTGCCCCCTCGCCCGGGGTCTTGAGGTTGCCGGCCTCCCGCCCCGCGCAGTGTGGACGCCGTGTCCCCAGACTGCTCCCCGGGAGTCGGTCGGGTCGGATAGGGTCGGGTGGGGACCGAGGCCCCGGCAGAGCTTGAGTCAGGGAAAATGCCCCGCTGAGCGTCGCTGTCATCGTCAAGATTTTATGGGTTCCCAAGATCACTTTGAAAATTACAGTAACTTTGAAGCTCAACAAAGAGACTTAAATCGAGTTCTCTGCATTCCTATAAGATTAGCCTCCGCAGAACTCGAGTTCTGCGCCTAAGCGAGCCCTTGGGCTTTCAGGAAGTGTTAACTTTACGGACGAGCGGTCAAATGACCCATTCTGTCAAAGAACAGGTGTGTTATTTATGAAGTTGTGTTGCGGTTAGCTTTTTAGATGCACGTGCAAAGGGCTGCACTAAGGTACTTGAGAATACTGAGGCGTAAGTCTCTAAAGTCGACTTTTTAAGGAAACGGTTTATATTCATACCTAACAAAAGGCATGCAGGAGAAAAGAGCGAGTCTCCTACCCCACTTCTTTGCCAGGAGCAGCTGCTGCCTTGACCTCAAATTGTCTTATAAAATTATCTCAACACCCTGGAGTATCTAATGCAAAACTTTTGGGATTAGGCGACTCTGGGGACTGCCCTTTCAGTACTAACAATTGTGGCAGACTTCTGAATTTTTCCGAAAACTTTTATTGCTTAAAACAACACAATTAGTAACAACTGGCTGATGTTAAGTGAAAAAAGTAGGATCCAAAACAACGATAACCCGAAAATTCAGTCATTCGCAACCCTTCTGCTCTTAGGAAGGTCAGCCGCCAGGGCTCAGGCTTGTCTGCCTTCGTTACCAGGGGTGTCCCGTGCCCAGTGCAGGGCTATTCCATGGCAGCCGTGCATTACACACGTGTGTAGTAAACATTTGGCTGGTACAGATAACCAGGTAACGAGCATGTGTGTGGGTTCTCCCCTTCCTTGGCTGACTCCTTGGAAAAGATTACTACAAGTGGGGATTTCACTGGGTCAGAGGGCCTGAATGCTTTCATGGTTATCAACACATTGCCAGCCTGCTTCCCGGAAGAGCCTTGCTTTTTGCCCTGCCGCCACCACGTGTGAGTATGTGGCAGTGCAGCCTGCAGTCTTGCCTACTGTGTACCCACAGTGCTTGGTAGTCAGGAGCACTTTCAGATGAGGACCTCATTTGTTCTGTTACCTGGAAGGTCGGTAGGGCAGGCACTGACTTCTCGCTTCCGCAGCACAAACTCCAGTACCAAACCTTTCAAGTTCTTCCTCCCATTCCACCTTTCATTCATAGTGAACATCCCGAGTAAATTCTTAGCCAAAAAACTGGGTACTGTTCTATGCTTTTCTGGTTTGCAAAATCCTTTTCTTATCTTGCTCAGATATCTGTAGATGCTTTGATCAAATCTGGCGACATTTTGACAAAATAATGAAACAATTTAGATGAAAGAGATGGTTTTATTTAGAAGTGAGGGAACAATAGGCATCAGCAAATTTAGAATACTGCACCCTTTCTGTTAGTAAAGGTCTAGAAACCCTTGGTGCTGGTTCTGTATCTTCTTGAATCTGAAGAAGTTACTCTATTAAAATCCTCAGACTGTTGCAGAAAATTGCAAATAATATATTGATATTAATACTCTCTGAAAATGGACAAGAACTATTTGCACAATGATTTATGTATCCTTGATAACAATAAATTTCAAAATAGAGCACTAAAAAAAAGAAATCACAAGACAAAAAATTCAAACTACAAAAAAGTCGTTTTCATATAAAAAATTCTCTTTCTCTTTTTTTCCCTAACATTTGGCAACAAGAAAACACTAATAGCCCATTACTAATCCTGATTCTTCCCTAAATTTGTTAACCAGGGAACCCAAATAATTTAATAACCAATTAATCCAATTAGAAAGCTTTGGAAATTCTTGGGGTTTATTTTTGATGTAAGTGGCACCACTTATATCAAAAGTAGTTCAAAATTGCTTTTTTACATTGTTTTCCAGTTTACTCAGGACTCTCTTAAAGAGTAGACCAGAAAAGACAGGGAATGAGAGATGCAACTAGATTGAGGCTTTAAATACCTTCCAGTCTGCTTTTTTTTTTTTTTTTTCTCTTGAGACAGGGTCTCACTCTGTACCTCAGGCTGACCTTGAATTCACTGTGTAGCCCAGGCTGGCCTCAAACACACAATCCTCCTGCCTCAGCCTCCTGAGTGCTGGAATTACAGGCATGTGCCACCCCACCCAACCAATCTGCCTTTCTGTAGTGATTTTGGATCCCAAATAGTGTTGAGTAAAAGAAGGTACTTTTTTTTTTTTTTTTTTAAGAAAGTACTTTTTCAAGACACTTGAGAAATGTCTGTGGTCCTTGTGTCAAGGAATAGTTCCCTGAGTTTTGGGTGGGTCAATAGCAACTAGATATTCAGTAACTTTTTATGTAAATGTAACATTGCTTTGTTTTCTACAGTAGGATATTTCTGCATCTTGAAAGGAAGATAAAGCAAAAATCTTTGAAATAGATGGCTCTTTGCTACTTTCTGTGAACTAAAGTGATTCAATGTCTCTTTTGGTAAGTTCCTGTTGACATGGATCTGATCTTGTGCCATCAGAGCAGGTAGATGTTAGTGCACAGTTGTGCATATTATGATGGGCTGTTGTTTTGGTCAGAGGTATTTTGTCCTAAAGGACTTGTGGTCTCAGTGAGCTTTTGTCTCTTTCAAAAGAATTTCTCCTGTACTTCTTTTTAAATATTCACTATTTTTTACCCTTTGTCCATACCTGCTTTTCCTCATATATATGCTGTACTTAGATGCCAGTCCCATCCTGCTAGCCTTGCCACGCATGTCCATTAAGTCTCTCAAAAATCCCTTTTTAAAAATGTCCGTCTCACTAAAAGAAAGCAAGATAGCATTAATAAACCCATTGTCTTAATCAGACAAAACTTTTTTTTTGGTACTGGGGATCGAACTCAGGACCTTGTGCTTGTGAGGCAGGCTAAATCCCCTGCCCTAGACAAAAATATTTTTATCAGTGTATAGTATAAGGTACAGATGCCAACTTGTCTTCTGTTTATGATAGAGCCGAGATAGCTGCTTTCGATAAAGTAGCTTGAGGACTTTCACTCCATTATATATACAATATAATATTTGAGTAGAACATTTTCACATGGAGACAGTGATCTCGGTCTTTAAAGCTGTGTGAGGTTATCGGGGCAGGTGGCATCACCCTCATTTTAAGTGTGCCTGTGATTGCCAAGAATCAGAGCCAGGACTTCAGCCTCACCTCTGCCCATCTGCCCCAGCAGATGAAATACCTCAGTCTCTAAAGCAGGGATCAGGTAACTTTCTGTAAAGGCCACAGGTGTTTGCATATCATATGATTTCTGTTAAACTCCCTTCTGCTGTTTGAAAGTAGCCGTAGGCTATGTAAACCAATACAAGAGTAAGAGTTCCAGTTGGACTTTATTCACAAACATTGGGTGATGATGCCTCACGGACCATAACTTGGTGACCCTGCTCTAAAGGATTACTTAAGATTTTTACTTTCCTATCATCTGTAAGTTGGAAAAGATACAAAAGACCAATTAATTTAATCCTTTTTTTGATAGATGGGGATCCTAATATCAGAGGGCTGAATTCAACTAAAAATAATCAGTAAATTAGGCTAACTGGGAAAATCATAATTTAATTTTGAGAAATTCCGAGCCAGCATGGGGACACACACATAAACTCATTTTCTTGGGAGGCTGAGGCAGCAGGCTGAGCTAAAGGCCAGCACGGGCAATTTCGGGAGCCCTCATCTCACGAAGACAGACTAAAAACAGAAAGAAGGAAAAAGAAATTCTGACATATTTTTAGAGACAGCAAATTTGATCCCTTTTAGGTAACTGACTACAAAGTGCTAAGTACACAAGGATGGACTTTAAGAGACTCCTTTGAGCCAGACTTGGTGGCACACCCCTATACTCTCAGCACTTGGGAGGTTGAGGCAGGCAGACTGCCACAGTTCACGGCCAGCCTTGGCTACATAGTGAGTTCAAGGCCAGCCAGAACTACATAGGGAGACCCTGTCTCAAGAAATAAAGTCCACTGCCTGCCTTGCAAGTGCGAGGCCCCGAGTTCAATCCCCGGTACCAAAAGAAGAAAAAAAAGAGAGCCAGGATTTAGCTCAGCGGTTCTGCCGCCTGCCTTGCAACCAAAAGGTCCCGAGTTCGATTTCCTGATCTCTGGTACCAAAACAAAAAGGAATGAGAAAAGAAAAGATAGGATGAGGATCAGAGATGACACCAAGCACAGTTCTAACCGATGTTTGCCTCTGCCACACCCAGCTACGTCTCCCTTCCCCTCCGCACTGAGCACCTTGGTGGTATGAATCCTGGCTCCCAATCCACAGTGCTCGTTTTCTCAGTTCCTAACCCATCTCCAAGCCACCCCTGCTTATACTCTGCCACATCTTTCATTTATTTTATGTACTTCTGATTCCAGGATTGTTTCTGTACTTCACGAACACAAGTTGAGTCACTCAGACCTGAGACGCAGTCTGAAACCAGTACCCGGCAGTGCTTGGTAAGAAAATGGCTGAGAAGTCAGCGTTCTTCGTTGGCTTTCTGCAACACCCTTTACTCCTGGGTCTATTATGGTTTTTCTTTGCAGTGCCTTTTACTGTTTCTTCCCCTCCTCCTGTTCTCCACGTCTGTACTTGACCTCTTCTCTTTCCTAAACCAAAGTTCCCTGAGCAGTTTCAGCTGGTCCTGAGGTTGCTTTGGTTTCAGATTGTCCAGGTGCTACCTCAGGGTCCTGGGGGACCCGGCATCAAGTGAACAGATGATTTCAGATCATTACCTGCAATCCTAGACTCTTTCCTGGGCAGCAGAAGTGCTGATACTATACTTCAGATTTGATTTTTCAAAGGTGCCTCTTTCTACTGAGTTTGAGTAAACTTTAGTCTTCTCTCAAATCTCACCAGCCCACGGTGTTTCCTGCCATGGCTAATGAGGACCCATCTACACGTCTTCCTGCTGTAGATTCTGAACTACGTTCCTCCTGCTTCTACGCCATGCAGGCATGCAGTTAGACACCAACTCTTAGGAGTCTGTCTCCAGCCCTCCTCTGCTCTGTAGGAGCACTGCTCAGAGTCCCGTCTAGCCGTCTTGCTCCTGGCCTGCTGCAGGCAGACTCTTACCTATAGTCCTTTCCCACCACTCAGCGTTCAACAGTGAGCAGCCCTACTGGTGCTGCTTTCCAGCTTGGAAACTTCCATTGGCTTCCTGAACCCTGAGAGTAAAGTCTAAACTTCTTAGCATTATATAAGGATCCGTAATGCTGTGGTGTATACTTGTTGAGTTTTATTTCTTGCTACTGAGCCTTAGCACATACTCTTTTTAAATTCTTTTTTTGTTTGTTTGTTTTTGGTACCGGGGATCAATTCGGCACTTGAGCCAGGCGTGGCGCCACTGAGCTAAATCCCCGACCCAGCACATATTCTTTTATTTGCATGAAATACCCTACTTCCCTTTCTGCCCATGAAATTCTTCCTCATTCATAAAGAAGTGGTTCAGATAGCACACCTGTGAAATCTTTCCTACACTTTTTAATCCCATAATGCTGCCGCCTATCTTAGGCATTCCTGTAAATTGTTCATTATTTCACAATGACTGATGTCTGTTTTTCTTCAGCCATAATGTGATATTCATAAGGAGGCATCTTGTCTTACCTTTATTTCCATAACGCAGTCCCTGATACATAGAATAATATTTAAAGGAACATACTTAGTAGTATATATTTTTCTGGGATCTTTTTTACTTTTTTTCTGGAACCAGTGGGATATTTTCTTTTTTCTTTTTTTTTTTTTTCCAGAACTGGGGATCGAACTCAGAACCTTGTGCTTGTGAGGCAGGTGCAGTGCCACTGAGCTAAATCCCTGGCCCCTGGGATCCTTTTTTTTTTGGTACCGGGGATCGAACTTGGGTCCTTGATGGGATCTTTTCTTTTAATCCCTACTTTCCATTGCAATTTTTGCTGCAGAATAGAATTTGCCTTGCAAAATTTGCTGAAAAATAAAATAACCCCAGTTGGTCTTGCTTATAATTTATCCCAGCCCTGTCTTCACTTGTCTTCATTTCTGTCTTTTACTCACTGATACTCCTTCTGAGGACCAGCCCTATGTACAGTAGGAGGTAGTGTGCAATGAGTTGGCTCAAGTCATACCCTTCAGGGTAGACATGGTTCTGAGTTAGCAGCCACTGCTGTTGTCTCTGTGCTGTCACTGACACAGGGAAACTGGAAAGTCCAAACCTCCAGGTTGGAGCTGTTTTATGTTTTAAAGAGCTAACTCTGTTACTATAGTTAGATCAAAATCTTGTCACTAGTTAGTTTTCTCCCATTTTGAAAACTAGGTCAATATTTGACTATTTCCATTCTGGTTTCTGATCTAAGTTGTACTGTATATGTGCAAACTTAATATCCAAAATGTAATTGCCCTTGACTTAGAGGTTTGAACCTATTTAAAATAACCTGTTTGGTACACTGAATACTTAATTTACAATATAGATGTCTGTGTTAGCTTTCTGTTACTGTGACCAAATACTAGAGCAAAACAACTTTAAAGGAAGAAAGGTTTACTTTGGCTCACAGTTTCAGAAGTTTCGGTCCATGGTGGCATGGCTCCATTGCTCTGGGCTTGTGGTGAGGCAGCATGTTACGGTGGGAGCGCATTATGGGAAGCAGACTGGTGAGCCTGGTGGTGGACAGGAGGCAGATGAGGCGGACAGGTGGGGACCAGGAGCGCTGCAGGGACCGTGTCTGCACTGAGGCCCTGGCTCCCCAGGGTCCCACTGCCTCAGAGCCATGCCATAGCTGGCAGCCAGGCCTTTAAGCAGATGACCTCTAGGGGACTTTTCACTCTAGTTTGTTGTTGTTGTTGTTGTTGTTGTTTTTAGTACTGGGGATAGAACTTAGGACCTTGCGTTTGCAAGGCAGGTGGCAGCACCACTGAGCTAAATTCCCAGCCCTAGGGACCATTTCAGATCCAAACAGAGACAGTGTCCCTTGCACTTTAATGATGACCGTTTCCTAACTCAGTAGATGGGAGCAGAATAGAGTTGGTGAGCTGTGATCTGAGCCCCTCACCCATTGATGTCATGCCAGCTTTCAAGCAGTGAGCCACAAGCCCCAGTGCATCGCGTCTCTCGTCTTCTGGACAGGTTTACAGATTAAGAGCACTGCACCAGGGGTTCAGCTCCGGGCCACTGTGCCTGCCTGGCCAGCACAAGGTCCTGAGTTTGATTCCTGGTACCAAAAAACAGATTGAGAGCACCTTGCATTCCTCTTCCTCTTGGAGTGTGTTCACCTTTACTCATCTTTAGTTGTGGGTTCATGTTCTCAGAAGTTTAGGGACCATGTCTGCCACTATCTCCATGAATCCGTCTGTCTGTTTCAAACTCCATCTCTTTCTCCTGACTAAGGAGTCAAGGATGTAAAAAGTACTCAGCACAATTCCTAGCACATGGCAATGTAATTTTTCTCTTCTTTTGTCTCCCCTGCTTGGAGGCAGTAACAAGATCCCTGACACCTGCTGGTGCCTGTAAAGGTTGCTGAGTGTCCCTGAGGAAATCTTCATGCTGTCGGGATGCCAGTGGTTTAGGTCTCTTCCTCCTCCTGCTACATGCTCGCCTTTCCACTGCCACTCTGTTTGGGTGCAGCCTGCCCCTGGCTCAGGCACCCAGGAGACTTCGTCTTGGTATGTGGCCCTTCAGTTGGGAGGTGTGCACACCATCCCCTGTCTCCATAGGATTCCTTTTCTCTCTGACCTCCCTTTTTATCCGTTCCAGGTTGAGTTTCCCCAGCAGGGTTAGTGGGCTGCAGTGTGGGCATCAGGCCCTGACCAGTGAGCCTTCCTGGCAGCACTCACCCTGAGGAGGAGAAAGGGGTGCAGAGAGCACAGTATGGGTGGGTACCTGTTCCGCCATTACAGTTCTGCCCTGACACACTTACTGGGGCCCTGAAGAATCTTTATCCATTCTCAGCAGCGTCTAAATATTTTTCTGGAAATGGTGCTGGAAAATATTCCTTGCTATTTGTACTCGTGCTTTCCCTGCCCTTTCCCTCTTCACATGCTCATCGTTCTCTAACGTCAGTTAGAACTTGGTACACGTCTTTCGGATCTTAGGATGGTCTCTTCAGCACCACTCAGTGCGTCCCTAGTGGTCTTGTTTGTTTGAAAATACAGTATCAGTATCTTTCATTGGGCAGACAGCAAATGGGATGGATAAATACGTTTATACTTATTTTGTCTTCATCTTGTAAAATGCAGGTTGATGAACCCACCCTTTCCTGGTCACCTCAATCTAGAGCCAGTGAGGTGCTATGTTCCACCGATGTCTCTAACTATGAACTGCAAGTGGAAATAGGTAAAAACCCTGGATTTTACTAATTAACCTTTCATTGCTTGAAATGAAATTGATGACAAAAAAGATTATTTTACAGGCAAGTCTTTTTCTGTTATCACTTACAGCATAGAATTGGTGTTACTGTGTCAAATAGTTGAGTTAATTTTATATGTATTTTAAGATAATGGCCCAGATTTTTTATAGATTGCTGTGTAGAAGTTTTACTTTTTCATTGAAGTACATTTAGGGAGGGAACACACTAATCTAAATAGTTATTATTTATGTATTGTGGGAAGCTTCTAGATTTATGCATATATTTATCATGTAAATCTTTTTTTTTTTTTTGAGATGGGGACTCCTTATGTAACCCAGGCCCATCTTGAACTCCTGGGCTCAACTGCTCCTCCCTCCTCAACCTCCTGAGTAGCTGGGACCGGAGGCCCAGGCCACCACATCCAGCTTTCATCATCTAAATCTTTAGTCACGGGCCTTTAACCATATAACTTTCCAATTTGAAATTTTACCCAAAATTCCATTTGTAGTAGAAACCTTCCTCAGTTAAGTGTGGAATGAGTTACTGTTTATAGCTCTCTGTGTGATATATTTGCTCTGAACAGTCAGAAACATCTGCTAACCACTGCAGGCCAGGGGCTGCTGGGTGCTGGAGGAGAGGTCATATCATCTCTGGAAGAGCGAACACAGGCTCGTAGAAGGGAGTGTGGTAGAGGTGTGTACTGAAGGTCACAAGAGCAGAGACGATAGAGAGTTTATTCTAAGAGTCAACAAAAATGGCAGAGTCTTGCTCCTCAAGAAGAGGAATGTAGGGCCGGGGATTTAGCTCAGTGGTTCCACCGCCTGCCTCATAAGGGGAAGGACCTGAGTTAGATCCCCGGTACCAAAAAACAAAACAAAACAAGAAGAGGAATGTTTGCTAGATAGTCCAGTCACACTTTTTGTTATAAACAACAGAGAGCTATCCTGGCTAACTTAAGTGCAAAGAGTAAAAAGGAATTCTTGAACAGTATTGTAGACTCACAGAATTGTTGGCTTGAGAAGCAGGCGTGGAAGCAACTCACAGAAGCTAAGTAACCAGGAGCACCCTGTCAGTGCCCTAGGCTGTCAGGTCCTCCTGGCAGAGACCAGGGCTCACAGTGCTCACAGCCCTTGCCTTTGTGTCTCTCCATCTGACCTTTGCTAAAGTACTACCTGCTGACAGAGTCCCCAAAATTAGAAAGACAGTTCAGAGGGTGGTTATCTAAACACTGAAGGCCGGGGATTTAGCTCAGTAGCACCGCACCTGCCTCACAAGCACAAGGTCCAGAGTTCGATCCCTGGCACCAAAAAGAAATAAGATTGAAAAAGTTTACCTCAGTAAATGTGTAAGGATCATGAGATGGAGGATGTCATTGTGTTGTTCCTCTCTGACCACAAGTGGGAATAAGGGGAAGAGTGGGCCCTGGCAGGAGACAGACCCAGACAAGCATGGTGGGAACTGGCCCCACCTCCTCCCCACTCCCCAAGGGTTTAGGCAGAGGTTTGGAACCCACCCTCTCTGTGCAGGAGCCACTGTTGATGATGATGGTGGTGACAACAGTGTCTAGCAGGCATCAAGCAGGACATAATGCATCTCTTCTTACCTTAACCCAGCATTCTGCAGAGGAGGATACTGAGGCTCTGAGACAGTCACACAGCCAGGGATCTGGATCCTGTCGGGTCTCCACATCAGCTGGTGAACGCCACCTGGTGACAGATGTGCAGCTCTGGCAGCAGTCTGGAAGACATGGTAGATCAGTTATTCACAAGAAGAAAGAAGAATCTACTTGTTACCTGTGTCTTTTAGAAAATTACAATAATTATATTCTAGTACAGAGCCACTGGATCACAATTCTGGAGAGAGCCATGCGTGGTGGTGCATGCCTGAAATCCCAGCACTCAGGAGGCAGGAGGATCACAAGTTTGAGGCCAGCCTGGGCTACATAGTGAGACCCTGTCTCAAAAAAACAAAAGAAAACAAATTGCTGGGGAATGGGGCCTAGGCGCAGGCATTCTGAAGAAGTTCCCTCTCGTTCTGGTGGAGAATGCGGGCTGTAGTAAGGAAGTCACTGTGTGTCCAGGGAGAGAGAAGGACTTCAAGGCAGGGACATGGAGCTAGACAGGAGGAGATGAGCTGGAGATGCACTTCGTATCAAAGATAAAATGGACAGAACTGGGTGCCTGTTCAAGGGTTCCACTCCTCAGCTTCCCTAAAAGCTGACAGCACCAGCTGTTGCTGCATGTGCCACGCAGCTGCAGCTCTCATACACTGCAGAATGCAAGATGGCAGCTGCCTTGGGAAACAAACATACACTTCCAACAGGATCCAGCAATCTAAAGTATTTCCCAAGGAGAACATGTGTGTCCTCCTAAAGACCTGTGCCATAATGTCTGAGACAACTTTATTTATAACATCAAAAAATTGAAAGCAATTCAAATATCTGTCAACCTATGAAAGATAAATAAACTGTGGTATAGCCATATAATAGATTATTATTCAACAATAGAACAATAATTTGGCCAGGCATGGAGGCACACACCTGTCATCTCAGGACTTGGTAGGCTGAGGCAGGAGGATGAGGATTGCTGCCAGTTCAGGGCCAGCCTGAACTAATAGCAAGACCATCTCAGGAAACTAATAAATAAATAACTTCTTACATGCAATGTGGGTAAATCTCAGAAGCATTATACTAAGTGAAAAAAGCTAAACATAAAAGATTACATCCTTTTGATACATTTATAAGACAAACATCAGATCAGTGGTTGCCAGGTACTGGAAATGGGGTAGGAGATTGCTGAACAACATTCCATTGTTTGGCTGTATCACAATTTGTATCACATAATGTCATTATTTTAGCCATTATAATCAATATGTAGCAGTATGGCATTGTTTTAATTTACATTTCTTTGTCTTGAGCATCTTTCTGTTTGCATATTGGCCATTCCCACACCTTATTTTGGAGGTTGCCTGCTCTGCCTGTTTTTGTTTGTTTTGGTGAGAGGGGGCCTTGCTATGTTGCCCAGGCTGGCCTTGAACTCCTGGCCTCAAGTAGTCCTCCTCCCTCAACCTCCTGAGTAGTTGGAATACAGATGCACCTTACCACCCCGACCTGCCTGGTTCTAACTGGATTGCTTGTCATCTTATAGAGTTATGAAAGTTCTTTATGTATCCCAATGGAAGTCTTATCAGGCATAAGTATTGTTAATGTTTTCAGTCAAAGCTTGCCTTTTCATTTTTTTAAATGTTGTTTGAAGAGCATCAGTTTTTAATTTTGATGAAACACCCAGTGTCAGTTTTTTTCTTCCTTGGTTACTGACATGAGTTTTATGTCTGATAACAGGAAGAGGTTTCGACAACCTAACCTCTGTGCATCTTGCACGGCATATTCCTACAGGAACACTGGTAACTATAAAAATCACTAATCTGGAAAACCTCACAGAAGAGCGCCTGAAAGCTTTACAGGTAACAATGTGAAGAAAAGGATTTATTTAGTGTAATGTCTATTTGGAGAGATTACATCTGTAAGGATTTTTCTCCCCTAAATTAATAGTTCTGTTAAAGATACTATTTCTTTTAATTGATATGTAGTTTACCAAATTGGAAGGAATATTTGGAAGCCATGTGAGAACAAATTATATCAAAGAACAAATACATTCAAACTTAGGTGGCTGATGTGAATTCCTTCCAGTGAATGTTGCATTCAACATGCCCGTCTAGAGATTCCAAACACCTCAGTCAACTCCATCACAAACAGAAATTGAAACACAGAAGTAGTTTCCTTTCCATCTAGTTAATAAAAATTCACTTCCAAATTGGTAAATGTTAACAGAATTACATTTCAGGCATATTATAATACCATTTTCATTGTCACTGTTTTTGACATAAGAGGAAAGAATTTTATTTTTATGTTATCCTAATTTTTAAAATATTTCTCTGCAAAGGAAAAAAAAAAGAATACAAGAAACCATACCACAGGGCTAACAGTGGTTCTCTCTGTGGTGTGGTGTAGGAGTTGTGTTAGTTATTTTTCTCTCATTGCTGAGACAGAATACCCAATACCTAAAGTTAAGGGGAAAGGTTTGTTTAGCTCACAGTTTGTAAAGGCTTCAGTCCATAGTCGGCTGGCTCCAAGGCCGAGTGGCACATGGCAGAGGGGCAACAGGTCATGGCCGCAGAACACAGCAAAGGCAACAAGAGACCTTAACAGCATCTCCCTGCCCTTTTATCTTACTCAGACTACGCAGGGTGGGTAGCACGCGTGCCCTTAACCCTAGTGTCCTCGGGCCTGGCCCCACCATGAATCAATCACACACCTTAGATTCAGCCCCTCCACATAGCCTGTGACCACATGAGGCTTTGGGGACATCTAGACACAAGCCATAACAGAGTGTTTTCAGTGTGGTTTTGGTTGCTTCCATTGCGGTAATAGTGTAGTTACTGTAATATGCCCTACAGAATAAGACTAAGTGCAATTTGCTTCCACTTCTCTTATTAACTATGTATTTTTGGACTTTTTTTTTTGGTACTAGGGATCAAACTTGGGTCCTTGTGCTTGCAGGGCAGGTGGCGGAACCACTGAGCTAAATCCCCGGCCCTTTTTGGACATATTTTTAAACTTTTTGAGACAGGGTCTTTTTTGGGGGTGGGGGGGAACCGGAGATTGAACTCAGGTCCTTGCGCTTGCACAGCAGGCATCGAAACCACTGAGCTAAATCCCCAGCCCTCTTAAACTTATTTTTAAGTGTTATATTCTACCATGTAGAATCCCAGCATCCATATTAAATGGCATGGCTATGAGATTTAGAGATGAAAGCACTGAGAACCATGTAGTATTAATCTGCTCCCTTGCGTATCAGCTGGCATGATTTCTGTTGTCTTCATCATAGGGGGAAAAGGTGTTTTAAATGGTTTTTGTATGTTTACTCTAGAGAGCAGTGATTCTATCCCACTTTTTCCGGCACCCCAATATTACAACTTACTGGACAGTTTTCACTGTTGGCAGTTGGCTTTGGGTAATTTCTCCATTTATGGCCTATGGTAAGAAAATCGGTTTTAAATAAAATAACTCATTGCTTAGCCTGAATACCATCATTACAAAGATGAGTGTGGTCTTAGATTTAGGATTTGCTACTTTTACTTTAAATGTAATGGCAGATTCTATATTTCATGCTATATTTCTGTATCTGGTTCAAGTTGACTATAATCTGTAGGCAAAAGGAGAATGGAGGATCGATCAGTGAAACCAGCACCAATTCTGTAAGAACCCCATGCCTTTGCACGCACTGTCTCCTTGTCTCTGTCCTTCCCTTCTCTTCATGGGAGGCAGCTGCTGTTCTGCAGGCTCAGACAGTTTGCCCTGTGCACGCCATGCCACTGCTTCCTGTCACTGCACTCTGGCTGCTCCATAAATCAGAGCTGGCGAGCCCCACTGTGGCCTGGCCCCTCATGTGAGCTTCTGCAGGCCAAGGGTCACTTCATGTTCTCTCTTGCTGAGACCAGGCTCTTGCGCAGTACTTGGCAACAGAGTGTTTCGATCTTTAGAACAGCTTTGTGAACTGCTTATGGGTTTTTAAAAATGTCATATACACATATAATATGTATTTTATTTAGTTATATTGAAAATTCTCTTTCCTAATCTCAGAAAAGCATTAGAAAAAAAATGTTTTTTGGTGGTGCTAGTGATCAAATGTGGGGCCTCAAGCATGGCAGGCAAGTGTTCTGCCACTGGACTACACCCCTAGCCAGAAGAAAAAAAATCTTCTAAAGATTCTTCAAGGAAAATCACTTTCTCATGAAAGTGGCTAGACTCCAAAGAATAATGTATTTATGGTTGGAAAGAACACTTAAAACATAGGTGGAAATAAAGTCACTTTCCTTGTCCATTTAAAGATGTAACTGGTTTCTTTCAGGTTCAGCAAGTCAGCTCTTAAGGACATACTTCCCTGAAGGAATGAGCGAAACTCTAATAAGAAATATTCTCTTTGGAGCAGTACGAGGGCTGAACTATCTGCACCAGAATGGCTGCATTCATAGGTATTCACTTATTTCCATTTTATAAAATGAAAGAAAGCTTTTTCTTTTACTGATTTATTGGTATTTTACCTAATTCTTAAGTTTTCTATAAAAATGTATTCCTAAAAAAAGTCATCACTTGCCTCATGTTTAATTAGTAAGGTATTACAGTTCTTTAACATATTTATAGTCCAAATGCTTTTTGGGGGGATGGGAGTTGAACTTGCTATGTAGCTGAGGCTGGCCTGGAACTCCTCATCCTCCTGCCTCAGCCTCCCAGGTGCTGGGATTGCAGGTGTGCACACCATGCCTGGCTACAGTCCAAACAATTTTTAAATAGTGGAAGAAATTTTAGATTAGAAATTTTTGGGGGGGGCTACCGAGGATCGAACTTGGGAGGCAGGCGGTGGTACCACTGAGCTAATTCCCCAGCCCTAGAAGAAATTTTTAAACATTCAAATTTTGTCTTGAATGAACTTGGAAGTGTTGGTTTTAGCTGGACATTACAGCATACACTATGGTCAGACATAGTAGCTCTGAGGACAGGGTCTGACGCTTGTTGTCGTAAATGTTCTCTGGCAGCTGCTAGCTACTTTCCACTTATTTGGGCTTGCTTAATAAGGCCATTTCTCCCGCCTTGGCATCATCGAGCTGTTTTTGAAGAACCTGAGCATTGCCCTCTGCTGTGGCGAGGGCTGTCTGAAGCCTCTGGCATTTGTCAGGAAGGCTGCTGGCTTCATCCTGGACCATCTGTAACTGTCTTTAATTTTCCTATGGTTTTTCCTAAAATTGCTTCCTGTCCTTGAAATTCTTTTCAAAGATCAGCTTCCTTTTCTTTGCTAGCCTGCAGGCTTTCTGCTGTAAAAAGCTGCAACGTTTTCAAAGTATCAGCTCACGCTCATAAAAGCATTGCGCTGTATTCAACCTGCTTTCGTTCTCCTCAGTGAGCGTTTTCAAGTCTGAGCTCCTCGAGCATTTTAAGGCCTCCACCTCCCTCCTGTGCAGCTCTCCTGCCTTCTGCCTTTGCTCTCTGAGGTACTGTGATCCTGTGATGCAGCTCCTGCAGCTCCCGGCGGTGAGCAGTCCAAGAAAGGATTCTTTTAGGGAGCTTTTAGGAAGGGGCAGTTGAGTATTAGAGAGGAGGATTAGACATTTATAAATAAAACTGAAGGAGCCAATAGATAGCAGACACTAACCTTTAACGTTCATTCGCCAAACATACTGAGGCCACACCCTCTGTGCTGAGCACTGCCCTTGTTCTAAGGGAGCTCCCGGCCTGGGCTTCGCTTGGGCTTGGTCTAATGAGGGGTAAGGACAAGTATGCTCTGAAACCAGCTAGAGGAGAGAGGGTCCAAGTTAGTTGGGATTTTTTTTAGCAAATTAAGAGCTTTTTTATCTGCTTTCCAGTACAAACACACACAATGTACAGATGGTAATTAATCTTCGATTTCTTAAATATATTGTAGCACCTTGAGATTATCATACTGAATATCAATTCTCTATGAAACTGCAGATGCAGAAGTAATTGGCTGAGTATGAAAAGCAGTGGTCTTTTAAGATACACTGGGTCTTTGTTTTGCTTTTTAATTGTTATTTGAAGTAAACTTCCTTATTGTTTCAGTTTCCTTAAAGCTCTTTGTCTTACTATTTGTTGTTTTTTCCCAATGTTATGATTGGGATTTCAAATGGACTACATTCTGATTAACTCAGGTTTATTACCAGATTATTGGCTCTCCTGCTCTGTTATTGTCCTAAATGTGGATGTTCACTATTAGTGTTTTGAATGAAAAAAATAAAGCTCTTGTAATTTATCCGACAGTTAAGGAAATGTTTGTGTGACATACCTTTATAAATAATGTTATACCACAAGAGGATTTTATTGGATTAGTATTGCATTGAATCTTACATTATAACCTTATGCTTCAAATATTATTTTATTTAAGATTCTTAGGTATTTTTGTAACACCACCATAAAATAGTGAAAACTAATAATTTGATTCTACTACTTACTTGAAAAAAATTACTGATTCCAAACATGTAGCTTTCAATTACATCTCCCTTTGTTTAAGGAGCTGAAAAGAATTCCTTAATTCCTTGGACATCTCTTATATTTATAGCAATAAATGTGACACACTGCTATTTTATAAGGGATGTTTATTTCCAAGCAAACACATGGGTTAATTCTGACCAGACTTACTCTGTCTTCATTGGCCAGATTCCTAGTGCTTAGGATTGTTTCTTTCTGTTCTAGGAGTTTTAAAGCCAGCCATATCCTCCTTTCTGGTGATGGCCTGGTGACCCTCTCTGGCCTGTCCCATCTGCATAGTCTGGTTAAGCATGGACAAAGGCATAGGTCTGTGTTTGAGTTCCCACAGTTCAGCACCTCAGTGCAGCCGTGGCTGAGCCCAGAACTGCTGAGACAGGTCAGGTGTGGCCCTTGCATTTGGTTGTCTGTGCGTCTTGAGTGTCTTCTCAGTTTGACTAAAGGACAATTGCATCCTTACAATTGGATTGGTGAATGGCCTACTGCAAGACTTTTTCTTGTCAAAATTATATTAGAAATTTTAAATTGTAAACCATATTATTATGTAGATCTTGATTATGGGCTTTTTTCCCCACTATTGTTCACCATCCTTTATCAAAAAAACATGTATATGTAACTTTTTGTTAAATTATTTACACTAAAGAACTTGAAACTAATTGTGTTCTACAGGATTTACATGGATATAATGTGAAGTCGGATATTTATAGTGTTGGGATTACAGCATGTGAATTAGCCAGTGGGCAGGTACCTTTTCAGGACATTCACAGAACTCAGGTAAATGCTTCTAAAATCCATGAACTGCTTGCCTATTATAGGTCCTCTTATATTCTAGATAACTTCTGATAAACATGTTTGTGTAGACTCTTGGGTGCTTATTGTCATTGTTGTTTTAATATTTTGCCTGCAAGGGGTTGAAGGAAATTTTTCTTTCAGATGTTGTTACAGAAGCTTAAAGGTCCTCTGTATAGCCCAGTGGATCTCAGTATCTTCCCTCAATCAGACTCCAGAATGAAAACTTCCCTATCAGGTGTAGACTCTGGGATTGGAGAGAGTGTGCTTGTCTCCAGTGGAACTCAAACTGTCAGCAGTGACCGACTGCACACACCATCCTCAAAAACCTTCTCTCCTGCCTTCTTCAGCTTAGTACAGCTCTGTCTGCAGCAAGATCCTGAGAAGAGGTATTGGTTACCTCTAAATAGCACAAAACATAATGGAGTTTATATTTTATAGAACCCTTGTGATATCGCTCTTCCTGTAAAATTCTCTTTTGTCAATCTTTTGATCAAAAAAATTAGTCTGATCTAGAAAATGTCAATGCTAGGGAACAAGCAAATGGAAAGAACACAGGATTCAAAATCACAACAGTTGGCTCCAGTCTTGGGCACACTATTTAGCAACCAAGTCACTTTGTAAAAATTACTCTTTCTGGGGGACCAGAGATGTAGCTCAGTGGTTCTGGCACCTGCCTCACAAGCGCAAGGTCCCAAGTTCGATCCCCAGTAACAAAAAGAAAAAAAAATTACTCTTTCTGGACATTAATTACTGTCTTTGTGTTAAGACATTTTAGAAAGTTCTAAGCAATGTAAAAACTTATATTGCCTTTATATATTAATATAAATTATTACTATAGGTAACTATATTAGCATCAATATTTTGGAAAGAAGGTATGTGTGTCTTATCTTTTTTTAGCACCTTAGTGCCTGGCATTATTCCTTCTACATAGTATATCCGCAACAAATGTTGAGTATAGAGCAATTGAAGGTTACTTCTAAAATTAATTCTTCCTATAAGTCAAAGCTGGAGCTAAAAATAGGGCTTCTGACATAGCTTTCTTTTTAATTTTTTAGTTTTGGGTTTTATAGCTGCAAACCTAATTTCTAACCATTATGTGATTATAACCTACATTCTAATATGACGTTTATTTTTTAAATAATTCTTTTTAAAATTGCAGACCATCTGCAAGCAGTTTATTGTCCCATGTATTCTTCAAGCAGGTAAGTGGTTCTATTATCAAGATGATTCCAAATGGTATTAAAGTCATTTTACTGGCTTAAAGGGATGCTTTGTTACCCAAAATCCTACTAATAGCTTCCTTACAAAATAAAGTTAAAAGCAAAAAAGCTTTTTTGTTAGTTCAAGTATAGATTTTCTAGAAGATTTCCATTCTACAAAACAAAAGAAGTAAAAACAAACTTGATTATCACCATGTGTTCTTTTATGCTGTGTATATTTTGATCATTTAGAGACACTTTCTATATTGTCTGGAAGTAATGCAAAGACAAAATAATTCTAATAAAAATCACTTTGTTTGGCTCGTAATTCTTTCTGTTTTCAGATGATGGGAAAATATCTAAAACCAATTTTAAACACTTTTAAAATAATTTGCTCCCTCCCGCTCTTCCTTGTTTTCCCTTTCTGACAGACTCTTGATAAGTTTACCCAGCCTGGCCTTCAACTCATAATCCTCCTATCTTGGCCTCTCAAGTAGCTGGGATTACAGGTCTATGCCACCACACCAAGCCTTAAAATGATTTATTTAAAAATGATTTATTGCTAACAAAACTGATATAAATAATTTGTATAACAGCTGCCTTCTTTTGAGTTTTTAACAGATGAGGGAAGAAAGCCAGGACTCCGTCCTCTTGCATTTGCCTCCTGCCTGTAACAAGCCATCAACAGCTCTGTCACCGGTGTTGCTTTGGCCAGAGCCCAAGTGTGATTTTCCTGAGGAGCGAGGCCCAGCTTGGGAGTTCTAGGGCTGCCACATTGTTTCATGTCCTGTATACTTGACACTTTCTCCTCGCTGCTTTTTCTCCTGTATTTATAGGTATAAATGCCAGAATTATACTTGAAAACACAGTTGGTGCACTGGAGAAGCTGTTCTTTAAACCACTTTGCTCACAGGGACAGTGATTCACAGCCCTCTGCTCTGACCAGCGTGTTCTCACAACTCCAGGGAAATGTCAGCATTACTAATTAGCTACAGTTAATTGGTCTCATCTCTTCTTGAACTTCCAAGCTGTGACTACTTTTCTCAGCATAATTTTTGAGCCAGTTAATTTTTCGATGTTCTGCTGTCTTCTTGGTAATGAACAAGTCCTCCGAGGACAGTGCTTCCAAGGACATCATCGTCTTCCAGAGTCTTGGGCCTTTGTGACCAGTTGCTGTTAGATCAGCAGGCTAGTTGGTCCTGGCACCAAACCCTTTTTGGAGAAAGGAAAATGTTCATGCTCCCATTTTTCTTCTGTTAATATATATGGTAACATCAAACTGAGCCTCACTTACATTAAATGATTCACTTGAGATACATAGAGAAGATACCATTTGCTTTTTTTTTAAGGGGGGCAAAAGTAATACTTTTCTATCTGTAAATTATCAATCCTAAATTCACGTGCACCTGTCAATAAAGATCTACTGAGTGAGTTGATTCTTGTATTTTTTCTTGTGTGGTCTGACAAAGATAGAACACAGATTCTAATTTGTTCTGCCAAGAAAAGTTCTTTCTCACAATTTTATTTTCATAATCTAAGGCAGAGCTGGCCTTTTATGTGATAACTGCTCCTTAGGGGTAAGCACTTCAGGGCACAGACCTCTGAAGCGGTTATGTCACCAGCTGCAAAAAGGGCTATATCTCAAAAAATGTTTGTAGTTTGAGCTGTGATACATTGCAGCCTATTTCAGTTGATTTTTTTTTTTCCGTACCAGGGATCAAACTCAGGACCTTGTGCTTGTCAGGCAGGCGTGGTGCCACTGAGCTAAATCCCCGGCCCTGTTTTCTTTTTTTTTTTTTGGTACCGGGAATCGAACTCAAAACACTGTGCTTTTGTCACAGGCGATGGAACCACTGAACTAAATCCCCGACCCCAGTGATTTTCTTAATCCATATAGTCTTACTAATATATTATCGTTAGAAGTTGTTTATAAATGAGTAAACTAAAACCAAAAAGGTAATACACAAGTTGAAACAATCCTTTTTTGTTTACTGGCTAGTGCCCTCCAATAAGCATTGGGGTTATAAATACAGCTCCCCAGACCTGCCAAGGTGAAAGCGGAAGGTGAGGGAATGTAGGGTGGGCTGTAGAGGAGGGAGTGGATGCAGCCCAGTGGGCCCTGAGGAGCCGGAGCCGTGGGCCTGCAGATTCTCCCACCACACTGCCCTTGGGGCTCCTCAGCCAGAGGCCACAGGTACCTCAGAGGTTCTCCTGAATCTGGTGTTGGGGGAGGTCCTCCTGCAGGTGGATAGTGCAGAGGGTGGGGGTGTCATGAACTGGTGCCTCTCAGATCTACTGAGGGTGTACTACATTCCTGGGAGAAACAATGAATAGAGTGTGTTACACACCCGTGCTCCCAGATTTACTTCAAGAAGCTGGCTCCCTGTGCCTGACAGGTCCCAAGATCTGCCAGGTGAGTCAGCAAGGGTATCTTGTTCTAGTGCAAAGGCCACCAGGTTCAAGACCCAGGATGAACCAGTGCTTCAGTCTGAGTCCAAAGACAGAAGAGCTGATGTCCCCGTTCAAAGGCAATCAAGCAGGAGGAACTGTTATTTGGGGGAGGTCAGCCTTTTTTGTTCCAGTCAGGTCTTCAACTAATTATGCAAGGCTCACCCACATTAGGGAGGGCAATCTGCTCTATTACACCTGTTAGCCCGGGATTTAGCTCAGTGTTTCTGCCGCCTGCCTCGCAAGTGTAAGGACCCGAGTTCAATCCCCAGTACCACAAAAAAAGAACACTGACACCTATTAACTGAAGTGTTAATCTTACCCAGAAACAGCCCCAAAGAAACCCAGTGCACAGTGGTTATTGTAATTGGTAACCCTGCCCTAGGCATGGATGCCTTTCTGAATTTTGTCCCAGTCACCTCACTTGCTTTATTAGTTTTATAAGGCTGCTATAACAAATTGCCATAAACTTAGGTGGCTTAAAACACCACCAATGTACTCTTACAGTTCTGTAATTCAAAAGTCTGAAAGGGGTCTCAACGGGGTAAAACCAAGGTGTTGACAGGCTGTGTTCCAGAGGCTTCGGAGAAAAATCTACTTCCTTGCCCCTCCAGCCTTTGGGGGCTCTACACTCCAGCTTGCAGCCCTTTCTGTCCACTTTCAAAGTTGACAATGCTGGGATACGCCCTTGCTCTGTCAGTTAAAAAGCTTCTGTGTAGCAAAGGATACAGCCAACAAACTGAAGAGACAATCTTCAGAATGGGAAAAATTTTTGCCAACTATTCCTTGAACAAAGAATACCCAGAATATATAAAGAACTCCAAAAAAATTAGACCCCCAAAACAAACGACCCAATCAAAATGAACAAATGAAATGAAGAAACTTCTCAGAAGAGTAAGTACAGATGGCCACTAACTGCATACAAAAATGTGCAACATCACTGGCTGTCATGGCTTGTGCCTGGGTGGCGCCCCAAAGCCTCATGCAGTAATAGGTAGAGCTTTTCGGAGGTGGCTGGATCTACAGTGTGATCCTGGGATCAAGGGCCATGATTGCTACCTGCCCTAATAGCCTGGTTAAAATATAAGGGACAGAGAGCTGGTGTTGTCACTTGCAGCTGCTTCGCTGTTTCGCTACTTGCTGCCTTGCTGCCTGCTGTGGACTATTTCTCCTCTGTGATGCCCTTCTGCCTGCCACACCGCCTTGGAGCCAGCCAACTATAAACTGAAACTGAAACTTCTACACACTGTGAGGTACAATCAACTTTTCCTCCTTTAACTGTGGGTGTTGGATATTTTGTCTCAGCAACAAAAATAGAAACTGACACTGGCTATTAGAGAAATGCAATCAAAACAACACTGACATTCCATTTTAACTCCAGAAAGAACGGCTATTATCAACTGAAAAAAATAAATGTTGGTGAGGATGTGAGGGAAAGGAGCCTTTCTACACTACTGGTGGGCATATAAAGTAGTGTGATGACTATGGAAATCAATACAGAGATTCCTCAAAACTAAAAAAAAGAAAAGAAAGATAAAATAGAAACAAAGGTTTTGTAAATAAGGAGGAGAAAAAGGGTTAAAAGGGAGGGGAATGAGGAAAAACAAGAATTAAGATATATCATGTACATGTACAAATTGCATATGATGAATGTGATCATTATGTATACCTAAATTATACCAATAAACAATTAAAACTTTTTAAAAACTAAAAATTGAAATTCCATTGGACCCAGCTATTTCCTTTTGGGTATATTCCTGAAAGAGTTAAACACATCAATCATATTTCAGTGATACATACATACCCATGTTTATAGCAGCACAACTTGTAACAGCTAAATCTTGGAAGCATCCTTTATGTCCATCAACTAATGAGTGGATAAAGAAAATGTTATATATGTACATAATATAGAACTACTCAGCTATAGAGAATAAATTTGAGTCATCTGTAGGAAAATGAATGCACTTTGAGACCATAATGCTTAGTGAAATAAATCAGGCACAGAAATTTAAATATCACACAGTTTCTCTTACACGAGTAACCCAAAGTATAAATAATTTAAAAGCAAAATAAAAAGTAGATTACAGGAAAGAGGAGGTAGACAGACCTTTTGCATGTGGGAAGGGGATTTAGAGATAGAGGGAGTGGGGAGGAAGGGGAGAAGGAGAAGTAAAAAGGAGTAAGATGTGCTATGCACATGTACCAAATCCCACACTGAATAAATTCACTGCGTGTCACAAACATGTACTAATTTTAAAAATAAGAAGGTAAAGCTCAGTAGTAGAGCGCTTGCCTGGCAAGCATGAGTCTGGAGGACTCAGCATCATAAAAAATTTTTTAAAAGTGAATTGAAAATTGAAGAACATGGGCCAGGGATTTAGCTCAGTGGTTCTGCTGCCTGCCCTGCAAGCGCAAGGACCCAAGTTCTATCCCCAGTACCCTCCCCCAAAAAACTGAAGAATAGATTTAAAAATTGCTTTATATATGTTTGACAATTTTGTTATTGCTATATCTGACTGGTTTGATGTGTTTTATATGAATATGATTTAATTTGCAGTTTAAGGTAACTGAGTGACAGTTACCGTATCATCATAAAAATGTAAAAATGGGGTACATTTTATGTGCATTTAATGTGGAATATCATGCTTTCTAATGGTCTGATAGACTGATTTTGAACTCAGGACCTTGTGCTTTCGAGGCAGGCGGCGGCACCACTGAGCTAAATCCCGGCCCTTGGTCTGATAACCTTTATTCTGGAAGTGCATCTCAATAAATACAAAATAATTTGAAAATTGTAAAAACAGCTCCTTAGAATAGTGACGCTAAATCCATCTCCTTAATGAGCTGGCAATGGTACTACCTTTCACTTCCCCTTCCTCATTTAAACAGAGCTCACTTCACTGGCACCAACAGCAGCAAAAAGATCCTATCAGGATCTTGAGTAAAGGTTCTAAACACATCTCAAACAACCTCTGGTACCATCTAGAATTTCTTTGAAAGCACAGAGACTTCTGATTTCAATTCATTTCTGTGGGCCTTTCAGTCTCTGCACTTTTGGCCCTACCTTGAACAGAAGTTCCTTGCAGCACTTTCCATTCACTCATATTGTCTGCACTTCCTTTCCCAATTACTTTTTTGACCCGTTTTCCATTCCAGTTTTCTTTGAAAACCCACTAGCCCACCTTTTCCTAAAATACTTCCATTTCCTACCCCTAATTGAGCCCTCACTAGCCTGACATCACTACTTCATGTTTACCAATACACTGGCACAGCTATTATGTACCTGGCTCCTTGCTATTTCCAGCTCAAAGTGTTGCTGCCCTCAGGAGATCCTGACAGTGAAGACAGAGAAGTAAACAACAATTACAGTTATATTATAATAAAAATAGTTGGAAAAAAGGAAAAATTTTGTCTTCTTCTTTCCTTTACCTCAACTCTTCTCCATAGGAAGGAAAGTTAATTGATTTGATTAGCCAGACGTTGCCAACCATTACACAAGGTACAGGTACAGTTTATGGAATTATTAACTCAGGGTATTTTCTAATCTTTTTCTTTGCCAAGCTCAAGAGAAATGACATTCTACCTTCTGAGGTCTCTGGTGGAGGCCCAGAAATATTTTTTTTTTTTTTTGCGGTACCGCCGATCAAACTCAGGACCTTGTGCTTGCAAGGCAGGTGTGGTGCCACTGAGCTAAATCCCGGCCCAGAAATCTACATTTTAACAGGTGCTTCAGAAGACTTGGATACAGATAATTCAAGAACTAAAAGAAACACTGGCCGATCAAGGTCCTAAATTCGATCTCTGGTCCAAAAAACAAAAACAAAAATAGTAGCCAGGAGCAAATTCCACTAATAATACCATGCCCATTTGGTAGCTTTGTCATTATATATTCTTCCAATCAGTGAATAACGAAGAACCAATTTTATTCAAGGAAATGTCTTTTTTACATTAAAAAAAAGCGTACTTTGTACTAAAAAATTAGAAAATC